GCTCCAGTCAATGCTCTGGACTCCGACACTGACTTGCCATCCTCAAAGGAAACGTTCTGTTTGCTTGATCGATTTCATGATGGAAACACAAAATCAGAAGAGGAATTGCTGAGGTGGGTCAGGTTTGTTCCCAAAATGAAAGAAATACTAAATTCACGAGTAGAAGAGCAGTTACACAGGGAGATGAACAGCAACAGCTTCTTCCTAGATGTGATGTCACCTGGGAACTACACAGGGAGATGAACCACAACAGCTTCTTCCTAGATGTGATGTCACCTGGGAACTACATGTTCGTCCTTCACTGCTACTACATTTTCGCAGTCCACAACCAAACAAGAACATGACAGAAACAATCAAAGGAAAACTGAAAACTGACATGCTGATAGTGAAATACAGACGGGCGAGGACCGAGGCACACTATGTTTCTCCAGAGGTATCCATACCAGGATGTAAAGGCAGGATTTGCATCCACTGACAGCTGCAGAGGTAACAAGAGGAGCAGACAATAAGATACAGTGCTCAAGCAAAGATGTGTCATGCAATGTTACATGATAAAGTATCTCATGATATTGTTGCGTAAAATTAATAAAGCATTTAAACAGAAAAAGATAAATGTCATAAGTTTCTATGCATCCATATCACAAACAATCCTCCTGAGAAGTTTCGAATGATGAATCCACAGCTTTATGGACACCTCATACAGCGGATTAAAAGTATCGTCACACGTCGTCTACAGAAAGACAAAAGGTAAGTTATCATCCAGTGAAAGCTCATTGTTCCCTTTTAAAAGGAATTTGTCTTGCTCTGTGCTGATGTTGATACAAGTTCTTGTCAAGGTTAATTTTCAATACACTTGCTACTGTAGTCAGCTTAATGATAAAGACAGTAACATGTAAATAAAATCAGTTTAGCTTTCATTCAGCTTCATTAAACATAAATGTGATACTCTGTGTTACAAACAGGAAAAGGAAACTGCCTAAACATGTTTATGTTGATGCAATATGTAGAACTTTTCGACAACAAAGGACGTGTTCATTTCAGCCGGCAGTACAACAGCTCATTGACCACTGTGCTCACTGTGCTTCAACGCTACCAATGGGGTCCAAATAATTGTTGGGCGTTATAGACGATGAGCCGTTTAACCGAGGCCGAGGCGGGAGAGCGCGCTCGGCCAATCTCGCGATCTTCGCCTTGTCTTGCACATTGTAATGATACAAGTTGTTTACCGTTCATAGTGTAAAAATATATATCCATTATGTTTTCGCCGTTTGTTATTATTTACAAGCCTTAACTTTCACATTCAATGTGAAAGTAGTCTACTTACATGAAAATATCGATCGATAATGGTTGTAACAGACGCTATGAGTGAAGAGCCAATCACAATTCATTACACAAGTACAGAGTGTTTCAGTGGCATTGATTGGTCATGTTGCTTAAAATACGGAAAACAAGAGTTTTGACCAGCACTAAAATTTATTACATGTGCGCATTCATACAAATATAGATACACATTCAAACCAGATTAATTGGTTTGATACGGTTACTTGATCCGAATCAAAAGGAATGACCGTCGTGTTGTGACAGCAACTACATGTGAGTTGACAGTGTCGCCTCAAATTGGATTGCCAACTAATTAAGAATATGAACTTCGCTTGTGGTTCTCTTTTATTGCATGCATGCGCTTCTAAGATCAAAGGATGTATAATGTGAAAAGTTAACTAGTAGAACAATCGTATTTCCGGGACTTGCCGCTGATGTTTGCAAACAGATTATTAGAACTCCATTCAGCGATAAACGGTTGATTATGCAATGAGAAGCGTTATGTGCAAATGAACAACGAACAACAATACAATCACGGCTGTGTAAAATTCTCAGTATTAAAAGTGTACATAAATTCAGTGTGATGAAAATTATTTGTGTTTTACCCAATCATGGTTTAAATTTTGGGAGCCATGCGTTACCGCCCGTAGTAACCGAGGTAGCGCTTTATCGAAGAGCACAATAGCGAGGGATCACTGTAATATAAACATAAAATACATCAAATTCATAGAAGAAATGGAAACTTTCTTTTTACGTCTTCTTGTATGATGCGGCCAGGGATTGAACCCTAAACCTTCCGCTTTCCCAGCAGACGCTCTCCTACTAGACCACGGGGGCAGTCTCAGGCGGTTGGCCAAATGATGAGAACTAATTTCGGTTAAAAGCAAGAGTAAACCAGATGTCTTCCATCACTTTATTTGTGCTATTAGTGACTTTGTTTATGTTTGTTCAGGTGGATGGGTAACAGCTTCCGGACCCTATAGCATTGTTTGTGCAGTGCAAGCTATTCTGAGGCCTGAAAGTGTGAGAGACCACGTAGACATAATTCTGTCTATGTCAAGACAACCACCAGCGACGTAGCTCATATGATGTCACGTCATGGAAACAACAGGTGGAAGAACATGTTCTCTCCCAACGAAGGACGCTTGGCTGAATCAACTGCTGACAACATACAGAGTCTACTAAACTCAAGATGGTGATTAGTCTGAGTCAAGACAAAGAAACGTTAGTACAAACATGAGATAAAATGTTTGAGATATTCATAATGCCCGTGTACAATCACGTGAACTGTTGATAACAATTACGGCTCTATGCTTCATAATCATATATGCCAACGTAAGTACAACTGCACATGAAATTGTTGTTTACTGTTACTCTGTGTCTGTAGATCTTCACAGGTGATATCGATAAACAATTTGAACTTCGTGAAACATGTTAATGTTCGTCAAGATTTAGATATACAATGAACGATGATATGCGCTCGTGAAGTCAACGTCTTTCTTCACGTCTACAGTCAGTGACACATCACCGCTTGATGCTTACAGTAAACTTGCTGTGAATGTTGTGAAGCATGTGAGTGTGTGGTATGCTCGAACATTGTGTCCGTGCTTTATATGCTGTGTAACGGTTCTGTCTACTACAGACAGAACAACACGTCCTTATGTTTGATCGTCAATACAGCTAAACTGAGCTTCTCCCTATGATAACATGAGCCCTTTTGTATTGTCTTGTATTGTCTTGTATGGTCTGTATGCATTCAATGAGCTTGCTCGTTTGTATCCCGTTTCCTTAAAAAATGTGCATGGTTTACTTTCTGTTCATTGATGTCGCTTAGCAAAACCTAGTTAGCATACATGCATAATGCATAGTGTAGCACTTATGTAGAAATGTTGGTACAAACATGAGATAAATTGGTTGTGATAATTATAATGCCTGTGGCGAGTGTGCGTAGTATATGTGTGATGTGTTTGTAACATAGCTTACAAGCATCATGTACAGTGTGAGTAGCATAGCAATCATGCAGTGTAATGCGTGGAGTATGTGTGCAGTATACATTCTCTGGAATGTTGTATGTGTGTGATGTGTTTGTAACAATAGGGCTGGGACGATTCACCGATACATCGATGTATCATGATACATTACATTTCGTGGGTCTATGTAACGATACAAAACGATACACAGCTGATATACTACGAGTAACAAAACGTATTTGCCGCTGTTTACATCATCCGTTTTGTTCCAACGCAGTCAGTAAAGAAAATCAAGCGATGATACAAGGGCAAATATGATTGGTTGATTTTCGTAGTACGACCAATCAAATGACTTGTATTAGTTTCAGCCTTCAAACATGGCGACTGGAAGCGTGGTCGGTGATGGGACTGGGAGTTGGAGAGAAATCAACATTGTAGACCCCCGGCAGCTTACAGGTCGCGTGTGTGGCGGCATTTTGGGTTTAAGGGAGTACTAACTAGCAATGGCGTGCGTCAGGCGGCAAAAGACAGAGTTGTGTGCCGCGAATGTCATGCTGAACTTGACCACAGTGGTAACACCACAAATATGACATTTCACCTGCAGCGACACCTCGGGATCGAGCTATCCAACGTTGACACACCATCGAAGCCGACGAAGGTAAACAGTAAGACGACAGGCTCATCAACAGCTGATGTGAAAAGCCCTAACTTTTCATGTGTCTGATATGATCAAGTGATCATGATATTAAGATTTTGTTTGAACACTTAAGGTTTGAGCTGAGGCAATTCAGTTTAGTTTTAAATGCCAAAGTTACTGTTCATTGCAAATTTGCAATCATTGACGGTTTTTATTGTTTCCAAAGTGCCATCATATTTTATATTTATGATATATGTGAGTTTAGAGTTGTGAACTGTGATATTAGTGTGTCTGTAACCTAGGCAACAGTATCAGGTTTAGGTTACATAACAGCATAAAACTGAGCATATTTCAGTTTGTTTGAGATCTGTAGCTAGCTGCAGCGGCTGAAGTTGGTAAAAGGCCAAAACTTCCATTGTTTGAAATAGTTAATGTTCAGACATCAGTTAAACATGTCTGACTTTGTGATTTACTAATTAGTGTGATGTTGATTATTCAAGTTCAGAGCTTCAGACAATTTGCCTTTCATTAATCATTGTGAGAAAAATCACAAACCAGTGGTTGTTTTTACCAAATAGTTCTGCTGTTCAGATGACATTTAGAATGCATTTTTATTGCAGAAAATCCAGGTATTTAGTCAGGCTCCTTAACTCAGGTGTTTTGAGTCTTGCTATTGAGTGACATGTGCTGTGTTTGACACATGTTCTGAAGAAAATATTTAGTTATTTGATGAGAACTATTTTACATTAAACTTTCATCATCTTCCACCAGCTTGTGACGTTATTATTTGTATCGTATCGTACGTATCGTATCGTGACCCCACTATCATGATACGTATCGTATCGTGACCTTGTGTATCGTCCCAGCCCTAATCATGTGTTTTACATTAACTAGATCTAGTTAACAAAAGCAAGATGACAACCCCGATCTATGATGTGGTTCAACATTTACCTGTAGATTTACTTGGATTGATCGAGCCTGTGGGTACATCCATATGATTGTAGTGAAGGAAGAAGGTGGTTAGTCAAAGAGACCGGTCTACCGCCCCTCAGAGACACAGCGAGTCCGTCGTGATGGCGGATTCCGGGCAAGAGGAAAGGCCTCATCAAAGGCGGAGCCCGAGCCCAGAAGTGCCATCTCATCGTTATAGGTGCCCCAGCCAACACCGTTCACGGAGAACTAGGAGCTCGCGCAGCCCCAATCGTCGTGGGGAGAGACACTCAAGACACAAAAGTCCCAGCGTAATCCTGGATAGACTCAGCAGCCGTAGGAGCTCCCCAAGGAGTACTGCCGGTCATAGGAGCCCCAGTCCTCGGAGGAGCTCGTACCGGAGTCAGAGCCAGAGCCAGCAGAGCCAGCAGAGCCAAACACGTGGTCGAGTGAAGACAGAAGGCACGAACAGCCTTCAACGAAATCACAAACCGGTCCTGGTCCGTCGTGCAGGCGGATCGGGCAACAGTCCAGGTGAACGCCGGAACATGGACACAGGTACACGCTGAAAGACAGTGGACCTTCCTCAACGAGTGGCCAAGCCACAGGACTAAATCACTCACCCGAGAGAAGCATTAGACCCCTCACGTTACCTTCCTGGACCAGGGGTGGAAATTTAAAAAAACAACTTCACTTGCCATCGGACAAGTTTAAAGACAATTTTCACTTGCCCTGATTTCATTTTCACTTGCCCGAATAATTTCAAAATAAAACTTCAAATCATCAATATGTGTTTATCTCTTTCAACACCGTAGGCCGGTTTTCCGGCCAAGAAATATCGAGTCCCCAGACACCGTAGGCTGGCCAAGCCGTAGTCACGTCAAAATAGTATATATTTTTATGGACCTACCTGTAATATCATTCATTTATTAAATCTATCACATTTCACAATGTCTGAAATACGTGTTCCATTTCAAATTTTTTATCGAAATATTAAAAAATTATTCACTATTTCCTGCGATGTCATTGAAAATAAAATTCTCGGACACACATTTCGACAACGGGTCCACATTGAACATGTCGAAGAGCAAAATAAAGACGTTTTAAACAAATCTTTAAATATATTATACAAAGTAATAAATAAAATCAACAAAAATATATCTAAAAGTAATCAAACTTACATCTAAGTTATTATTTCCATCTTTTCGTGCGATCGCGTGTAATGTAAGTCAAATGACATCTCGGCTTTCGTCGCCTTGAATTCTCGGCTCGGACACGATGTTTAATGCAAAAATATATGCATGAAAAATCTTTGTCACTGCTCGTAACCTAGCACGATACATTCACGAAGTTCCATATTTTTAAAATATATCATGATTTCCTGCTTAAAACGTTCAGAATAACAAGATTTAACAAAAATCTTTCGCCAACTTCAGAAATTTATCAAACACGAGCTTGGTATCACACCTGTAATTTGATTGGCTGCCTAAGGCCACATGCTCAAAATAGACCAATCACGAAACTTGTAGCAGATTTCGGCAAGAAAGCGTCATTAGAAACCAATTTTAATCTAATGAAATGGCTTGTTATAACTACGGGAAAAAAACAGGCGATGTTACGAAAGCGCGATTACAAAATTTCTCTCAATTCATTTATTGTACCATTTTACCAGTAGTTAGACATGTAGACAGTGATAGTAATTTCAAATATTACTTGCCTCCGGACAAGTTAAAGTAAGTGATTTTGTTGCCTGACCTCGTATTTCTACTTGCCCCGGGAGTCGGGAAATGGCAAATTTCCACCCCTGCTGGACCCAGCCGGAGATGGACGCACAGCCACAGTCAGAGGATGGTCATATGCTCCCTGACATAGAGATCACACGAGAGGTAGGCCCTCGTGAACGAGAGAAGAGATGGAGGGGATATCTGCTGGGGTCGCCCGTCAGGCAGGCAGGTGAACGAGCCCCTTTCACGGAGAAGGCGCCTACAGCTGAGGTTCAGAAAGAAATGGTGACTGAAGCCCTCCCTAGGAGGAAGACTCAATTCACCGTGGTTTTTCCAGCCAAGACCAGTCGCGGGGGCAGGGCTCAGGACCTTCTCAAAAGCAGGGCTCAGGACTTCTTCAGAGACCAGCCAGCAGGCAAAGAAGAGGCCTCGGCGAGCACGACGGGTAAAAACCAGTGGGAAGGCATGGAAGTCCCGGACAGCCCGCCAATAAGGAGAATATCTTGGGAAGGCGAAAAGGAGTGGGAATGCATGGAAGTCCCGGACAGCCCGCCAAGAAGGAAAATATCCTGGGAAGACGAGAAAAAATGGGAAGGCATGGAAGCCCCGGTCAGCCCGGAAGGGAAGAGAAGAATACCTTGGGAAGGCCAGAGCCAGGCACCCAGGAAGGCATGCAAGAAAAGCGTTAGTCCGCCTCCGCCCGGAAGGGATAGTTCGGGTGGAGTACCACAGGGTCAGTCCAGCAGGCAAGGCATCAGGCGGGACCACATCGAATCCCGTTGTCCGCTGCGGGGTTGCCCTGCCAAGACAAAAAAGTTAAAGAGGCATGTCGTGGACCGGCATCTGCCATGGTATTTTAAGGACAAGGAAACGGAAACAACCATGCAAGACCCGGAAACGCTCTCTAGAAGGGAGTCTGCTTTAAACCAATTGGCTCGATGGATCCTGGGAGCGGAGGGGACTGTCTTCCAGCTGGTAGAATATGCCAATCACTGCCTCATGATCCCATCAGACAGCGGGATCGCTCGACTGGCGTGTGCGGGGATGAGGGAGCTAATTAGGAGGGAGGGGTGTCACAACCTCCTCGCCTCAGCCTAAACCCCATAAATTCACCAGCTTGTCTGATGTACTGGAGGGTGCTGGCATTGCTCATCAATGCACTCACCCTGTCCCAGGTTAACGAGTACTGGACTTTCCTACAGCCCATGGCATCCAGAGCCATTCCAAAACCCTGTTACATGAAGGAGATGTTGAAAATTTTAAATGTAAAAAGACATGAAGGGTATGTGATATTCCAGTGACAATTTACACTTCATCTGCTTTATTAGGATGTTGCTCCGGTCCGGGACATCACTGTTGATGCTGCTGGTGTCGTTGTTTTCGTTCCCCGAGGGGACAGTGAGCTCTCACACACCCTGGACCAGTTCCTCATCCACATCATCCGAGTCACCGCTTGCTCGGTACGCAACCGCTTGGCTCTGACTTTCGGACTCTGGTGTTGCCTCAGGTGCCAGGGGGTATGTCCGGCGATTTCTCACGTCCATGCTGACTGCATGATACATTTGCAGGTTGGCAGTCCTCTCTTGTATATTAGTGCCATCACCCTCGACTTGTCTTTCTTCCCTCGCCCGATCCATGCCTGGCGATTATCCATTGCTCCCCAGCTACTCTCGGGGAACTTGGGTCTGACAGGAGGGTATAGGTCTTGGTTTTCTTGTTCCACCACTGGGGTGTTCTGATCTGGCCAGCCAGGTGGCAGCAGAATGTGAAAGTCTCCTGGACCATTGCGGCATAGAGGAACTCCAGCGTGTAGTCCAAAAGTGGAACATCCACCACTTAGCCCGGTATTTTTGTTGGGCATCAGGTGCAAGGTCCAAGGGGCCAAGTAGTTTTACCGGGCCACAAGAAACCAGAACGTACAGGCATGGAGTTCTGTCCAGAACAGAGGACAAGGGATCTTGCATGGAGGATCCCCATAGAGAATAGAAACTTGGGAGGAGACCAAGATTTCCGAGTTGAATCCAGGTCGGAAAATTAAGGCTGAAAATGGAGATCTAAGAAGTGTTTACTAGTCCCGAAGGGCTTTGGGACCCCGAGGTGGATATCTTTATAGAAGATGAAATGTCAACCTCTGAAAATCCCGGTAGTCTACCAGGGCAGAATATAGGGTCCTACCCCACCGCAGGTCCCAGAAGACGTCAGGTTCCTGTAAATAGGGGGGAGTGTGGTGGTCGGCCATGTCCGCCACTCTTGCTGAAGATAACCGAGAGCCGCAGCCCGTGCCCGGGAAGCAGCAGGACCCGAAATCCTCCCAGCCAATCAGCTAGCCGGGAGCCCATGAGGGAATCAGTCGAGTTTCAAGCATTCAGAGTAAGTAGACGTCATATTGACCATTCACTTAACTTTGTTTATAGAACCGACTCACTATAGTGTCAACTAGTGCCACTGGTGCTATTATCGTCGGGATAGCACCGACATCAGTTATCACTATAAATGAATCAAATTCATAGAAGAAATGGAAACCACCTTTTAACTATTTTTCCGTATGATGCGGCCAGTGATCGAACCCTAGACCTTCTGCTCTCTCCGGGCAGACACTCTACCACTAGACCACTGGGGCAGTCTCAGGCGGCAGGCCAAAAGGTGCCAACTTATTCCTGTTAAAAGCAAGGGTAATCCTGATTTCTACCATCACAACATTTGTGGTGCTAGTGACTTCATTGATGTTTGTTCAAGTGGATGGGTATCAGCATCCGGAACCGATACAACAGTGTATGCAGTCAAAGCTATTCTGAGGCCTAAAAGTGTGAGAGACCACGTAGACATAATTCTGTGTATGTCAAGACAACCACTAGTCATCGTAAGCGACGTAGCCCCTATGATGTCACATCACCGCAACAACTGGTGGAAGAACACATTCTCTCCCAACGAAGATAGCTTAGCCGCAATCAACTGCTGACAACATACAGAAAGCTACAGAAGGGATATTTTCAAAGAGTATTCCTTTCATGAAGGAATGGCTGACAGCAGCTCCAGTCAATGCTCTGGACTCCGACACTGACTTGCCATCCTCAAAGGAAACGTTCTGTTTGCTTGATCGATTTCATGATGGAAACACAAAATCAGAAGAGGAATTGCTGAGGTGGGTCAGGTTTGTTCCCAAAATGAAAGAAATACTAAATTCACGAGTAGAAGAGCAGTTACACAGGGAGATGAACAGCAACAGCTTCTTCCTAGATGTGATGTCACCTGGGAACTACACAGGGAGATGAACCACAACAGCTTCTTCCTAGATGTGATGTCACCTGGGAACTACATGTTCGTCCTTCACTGCTACTACATTTTCGCAGTCCACAACCAAACAAGAACATGACAGAAACAATCAAAGGAAAACTGAAAACTGACATGCTGATAGTGAAATACAGACGGGCGAGGACCGAGGCACACCATGTTTCTCCAGAGGTATCCATACCAGGATGTAAAGGCAGGATTTGCATCCACTGACAGCTGCAGAGGTAACAAGAGGAGCAGACAATAAGATACAGTGCTCAAGCAAAGACGTGGCATGCAATGTTACATGATAAAGTATCTCATGATATTGTTGCGTAAAATTAATAAACCGTTTAAACAGAAAAAGATAAATGTCATAAGTTTCTATGCATCCATATCACAAACAATCCTCCTGAGAAGTTTCGAATGATGAATCCACAGCTTTATGGACACCTCATACAGCGGATTAAAAGTATCGTCACACGTCGTCTACAGAAAGACAAAAGGTAAGTTATCATCCAGTGAAAGCTCATTGTTCCCTTTTAAAAGGAATTTGTCTTGCTCTGTGCTGATGT